CACACACACACACACACACACACACACACACACACACACAGAGAAAGAGAGGGAGGGGGAGGAAAAGAGAGATAGAAAGACAGACGTGTCCCACCACCACCCCCCTCCACCACCACCTATCTCCTCTTCTTTTAACCATATTTCGGAGCATAAATTATCCACCTCAATCCCCTTTGGCGTAGTCAATAGAGAGGAAGGGCGTGCCTGTCTCACTATTTGCCCTCTCTTTCTAGACTGACAAATTTTTGTGGATATTGAGCAAGAAAAACATGCACACACACACACACAGGTTTCGAGGGAAGGGCAAAGCTTGCCTAAGGCCAAGGGCTTTTGAGTTTGTGGCGGTGGTGGTTGTGGAAGTGGTGATGGGGAGAAGAATGTTCACCTTCTCCTCCTCCGCCTCCGCCTCCTCCTATTCCTCCTTCAAATTCCTCTTCTCCACCCTCATGAAGATGCGCACAAGCAGAAGAAGAAAGATAATTACAGGCCTGGAACAGGTGAGTGCGTAAAATGTCCGTCCCATCGTAGGCTGAGCCTTAACCACGCACACGCACACACACACACCCACACCTATCCACCCTCCTCTGCTAGCCTTCCGCTTTTGTTCAGAAGACAGTCCAAAGGGTGGATGGAGTGGGAAATTTCACGTACTCTTCAAGACGTTTACGGCCTCAGTAATTATATACACAGAGAAGAAAAGCGGAGAACTAGGAGAGGCAACAGGGTAAAATGACTAACCACAAATCAGGTGCAAATTGTCTAAAAGTTAAGCCTATCTACTTAATTCTCTGTCTTAAATGGACCCACAGCACTTCTCTGTCACGATGCATGGTTGTGGAAGTGTTAAAATAAATATCCTCACCACCATCTGGCCTAAGAGGTGAGGACGAGGTGGCGGCGGTGGAGGAGGGGGAGGCGATGGTCAGCGAAAATTGGCTCCATTTTAACGGAGTTATACTGCTATTGATGTATAATTAGGGGTCTTGGAAGGGGAGGGGGGTAGAATTTCACATCTCTACATCCACCTCTCATCTGATTGGTCCGCTCTGTTGGTTTAATCAAGCAGATATCCACCTTGCCCTCCTAACCCTCCCAATTATCGATTTTTTTAATTCTGCCGAAGATAACCAATTTTCGCCAAAATTTTAGGACAAAAAGGGAATTCCTAAACGAAGCAATAAAGAGGTAAACCTTTTACAATCCTCCCATAAAGGGCCTATCAATCAATGTCACGTGTTTGCCTTTCTTCTTTCTTTGGTTTCATCTTACTCCACTCCTACCGCCTCAACAAGAGGTTGTCAGGACAAAGGCAGAAGGAGATTTCATCTGTCAGATAAATCTATGCCTAATTTACCGAAGAGATGCTTTATCTTCTCTGACTCGTTGTTATGGCAATAGAATTGGTAGGAGAATAATAAAATCACCTGTGTTTGTGTTAAACCCAAGTCGCTGGCAAGTTGAGCCCGTTCAGAGAGATTGAGGTACTTGGACTTGGCAAATCGGCTATTTAAGCGTTCCAATTGTGCTGGAGTGTAAATAGTTCGAGGCTTTCGAGGTTTTCGCCGATTCCCCAATCCACGATTGGCCTCTGTGAGGAAAGAATTTAGTAAGGATGGCCCTATGAGTAAGTAAAGACATACCTTGTCCCCCACCACCACCACCACCTCCTCCTGAATCAGTCACTGAACCCGTGGTGGATGTGGCAAGGGTGTAATCATTCGGACTGGTGGAGAGACTACTTATCACCGTTGTTGGGGTGACAGCATCTTGGGTTAAATTTATCCCACCATGGTAGGTAGGATGATGAAGTAATTCCTCTTGAGACAAGGGGGAAGTGGAACCCCTTGTATCCTGAACTGGCGTTAAAATATACCGCGTATGGACATCGTCTGGATAGGCATTGCTACCACTGCTACTGCTACCGTAGTAGATTGGATTGTAGGGCCCATGCAAAGCCCCATTATGGTAGATTGGGAGATGCTGTTGCGATGACCC